ATAAATATATATAGATGAATAGATGATCAAACTTGAGATTGATAATCAGTACTCTTTCCCTTACTACCGGGACAGGAACTCATTTCTTAAATCAGAACTTCAAATCTCTATCATGGTAATCCTTCATTAGAAAAGGGATTCTGTAGAAAATGGAGAAAGGACAACAATTCCCAACCAACTACTCCCAATTCCCATTTATCAATTACTAAATCTTAAATTTGCATTCCGTATTCCAAATTATATATTACCTATTCATATAAATTTCACTAGAAGAGGATCATACATTTAGCGTACAGTACCATTTTCCCCTCACAAAATCTGTATTTGTACTGTACTACAAATATAAAACTTGTTTATTCTAAACATTGGTTTTCCTTCCACTATCTTTACTTTTAACTCAGAGAGAAGATTTATACAAAAAGAACGAAAAAACGATGTTCCGTGTTTTGATATTTTATTCTTGGGATAAAAATAAAGTAAACTTGATCAAAATACAGTTTTTAAATCTTGGAACCGCTAAAAACTTTCTCCGGCCACAGTTGTCTTTGAAAAGTAAGACTATTACTAATCAACAGCGAATAGGCTGTTTAGTTTACCCTGAAATTACCCAAATAAGTGAACGGTCCCTTTAACGCTGTTAATAAAATTGAGATCGTCAACTAACGATAACTTTGAAGAATCGGAAAATACAGTTAACAAAACAAAGTTTGGTTCTTACCCTCTAAAAATAACAGCTAACTGAGATTTAGTTTTAAAAGCGGAAATAATGGGTAACAAAATAGCATTAAAAAGATGGAATGTGCCCTAATGAACACTGAAAGTCACCATTTTTAATCATTCTCAAATTTTCGTGAATTTTTCTGTGGCACATTTTAAAAATAAAAGTTTTTTTTTAATTTCTTTGTCCAGCAAAATGTTTTTACTTCAACCAGCTTTTAACTAAACCTTTCTCAGGGTCATGTAACTAGACTCAAAACTTTTGAATTTATTGGTTTGAACGTTCTGACGTTTATTGGATTCAATCAAACAGACACCCAGACTCCCCAGACAGACAATAGCAAAGTATATAAACATTAATACGGACTAAAACACCTTGCAGAGGATGAACAATCTGAAGGTTGAGATGCACAGGAACAGATTACCCATCACAAATCCCATCATGCACACAAGATATCTTTCCACCTTGCATAGATGGAGGGGAACAGGAAACAGCATACTTCGCCAACCAGAAGGCAGACTCTAAATAAATACAGTATTTCAATGCTTAGAGGGACTGTAACGGTAATTTTAATTGACCCTATATACAAAGATTCACAACATTACCCTTGAAACCTTAATCTATTCAATAATATGGAACAACTAGAGGCCAATGTGTAATATTACACTGTGAATACAAATACTAATATTTGCCTTTACTGTCAAGCTTGAAGCCAACTACCAATCTTGTTGTTTCTAAGGTATAAACTGCTACTTGACAAATGAAACCAAGAAGAAAGCGAAGGTAAATTTCAAACAACTCTGATTACAAAAGATATAGCCGTAGCCAATGCATTATTGCTAGGGTTTCCAATCAAACTCCAATTGGGCAGAATTGTGCAGAATTGCGCGGAAATAAAAGGGCCTGTTATTGTAATGACAAATAACTAGAGTTTCCAACGCAAGTAATTGCGAGCAAGTGAATTTAATTGTGCAAAATTCCGTAACAATTCCGTAAGTCAAACAGTCAAAAATATTGATTTTTAGATGGAAAAGCAATTCCGTTGCACGCAATTCCGCGAATATTTAATTGCTTCCTTTTTTCCAATTATAGCGCAATTGCTCGCAATCAAATGGCCCAAGCGGCAGCAACCTTTGTGCGCAATTCCGCGCAACAGAAATTTGATTGGAAACCCCAAAATACAAATAAATCAGTAATGAATTAAAGGGACATTTCGTGACCCTTCAGACATAGATTCCTGATTCACAAAGGTACCCCTAAAAGCTTTGTCTGACCAGGTATGAATTAGATATCATCAATGATTGTAATCTTTTAACAAAAGTGACTGGCATATTTCTTCTGCAGAAAAACATAAAGAAGTTAAGTCAGACTGAAACACTTCTAAACCATGAAAAATAGACGCTATCTTCCATATTATTGATCAGATGAAGTTTTCAGGGAAACCATTGTAAATTGGGCATAGCCATCTCTTCATGAAGGGTCACATGAAATTAACCCTATCTCTAAATCACATGTTTGATGTCAAAATCTGACAAATTATACATCATTGGAAAGCTCTTGTGCTCTACTTTTAGAATCTGCAAAAAAATTGCAAATTTGAAAAAAATTGAATTTTTATCGCAAAATCCAATTATATAGTAAAAATGTTTGAAAAAAAAAATTTCTCCAAAAAATGAAAAATTATACATTTTGAAAAGCCCTTAACCATGCCATTTCAAGTATCCAAATATCTTTGCAAAATTTTAAATAACCTTTTATTTTAATCAAGAAAAACTAAAAATGTGCAAATTTCCTTTGACAGGTTGTTTGCAAAAAATTTGCAATTTTTTTCTCGCAAAACTTGTGCAATTCGTTTCCTTATGTCAAAGGCTTTCCAAAAAGCTAAATTTTTCAAAATCTGACAAGTAGAAGTGGGTCAAAACAAAGATTTAGTTTGTTACAGGAAAAATCAGTCATTCAGGCAGTGTGCTTGAGGACTCAGGCAGTTAGTATTAAAGCCCAGTTTTAGGCCTAAAGGGAGGGCTTTGGGTATGTAGGAAAAGTCAGAAAATTTCAACAGCCTCAGACCAATACTTTTTGAGTTATGTAAAAAACTACAGGGGGTCAACTTGACCCCCCCCCCAGCAGGAATTGGGTTAAACTTACAGTCCCTTTAAGTCAATTTTAATCAATCAGCATCTCATGTACTCACATTAAGAGTGGCCATGGCTCTAAGTATCTGCACAATGTCCATGTTGAGAATGATGTTTATGTTTATGTTTGCAAGCGGAACACTCTCCTTGTATTTCTGTAGAATCCAGGTCAGCGCATTGATGATGATGAGTAGGACAGTTAGAGATATGAAGATACCAGGAGACTCTCCTAGATTGAGCCGTATCCTGATGCAGAGATGAGAAATTTTAGAAATGTTGACGAGAGCTTAATTGTGGATATCAAGATCAATGCTTAATCTTTTCTTATAGTTAACTCCAAGATTAATTTAATTTTAAATTTGTATCCACAAAAGTAAATAAACAACTCAACCAATTAAGCGGTGTTTGGAGTAACCAGAAAAGCTGGAAAATTTTAAATTTTGCGCGCCATTTAAGGATTGAACTCTCATTGGTTGGAAACTGGCAAGGAGAGAAAAAGATCGGATTAAGAATGGGAAATTAAGAGTGTTCACATCGGATATTCAGATTAAGTAATCGGGATTAAAGCAATCCTATTCTAAAGTTCCAATTTCTGATAAAACTTAGATAAAATCTCATAATACCATGATATAATTTAGCCACAAGGATATTGTCAACTATTGTGTTTTGCTACGCGTCATAAATATAGGTATCATAGATTCAGACCTCCCAGCCTTTAAATATTTAAAGCTTGTTATGCTTGTGACTTTGCAGGGAAGGGATTAATTAAATTAATTTTATTACTGATACCTAATTGATTGGAACTTATTCCATAGTTTTTTTAAATGATTAATTTTTTATCCTATCAACAGATTTTCCATATTTCCTTCTTTCGTTAATTCAGTATTTATATTTTTCTTCTTCTCTATCCTAAAGGGTTGATTCGAGCAGTTAAACAACTCAGTAATGTTTTCACCCATTTCGTTACTTCTTGAAAATAAATTTAGTTTATCAATATTTAATGTTGTTTTAGGTTTCCAGTTGGCTCCACAAAAAATCTACCATCCCTACTCTGATTGTCTCTGTCCTAACTCTGATTGTCTCCGTCCCAACTCTAAATGCCTCTGTCCCTACTCTGACTGTCTCCGTCCCTACTCTCAAGGTCTCTATCCCTACTCTGACTGTCTCTGTCCCTACTCTGTTTGTCTCTGTCCCAACTCTGATTATCTCCATTCCAAATCTAAATGTCTCTGTCCCTACACTGACTGTCTCCATCCCAACTCTGATTGTCTCCGTCCCTACTCTTACTGTCTCCGTCCCCACATTAATTTTCTCTGTCCTTACTATTATTGTCTCTGACCTTCTCTGACAGTCTAATTGTCCCAACTTTGACTGTTTCTGTCCCCACTCTGACTGTCTCCGTACTCACTCCAACTGTCTCCGTCCCTGCTCTGAATGTCTCTGTCCCTTTCCTAAATGTCTTCGTCCAATCTATGATTGTCTCCGTCCCTATTCTAACTTGCTGTCTTTGTCTCTGCTCATGGATTGTCAAAACTCTACTCTAGGTATCAACAATGTACTCTGACTGTCTCCGTACTTTCTCTGGATGTCTCTTGTTTTCTCTGAAAGAAGGATGGATGATGTGAACCATAGATAATTAGGAGAAAATATTAAAATAGTTCCAATTACTTCAATTAAAGCTCTGTATTCAATCTTCCGTAACGGAAAAAAATCCAAAATAATTTTTTTTATCAAAGTGAATGTACGGTTAGACCGGTGTTAGCATTGTGCACAGGGATTAAAGGGACTGTATACGTTTATTTAAGTGACATTTTAATTACATTCTATAGAGTGGCAAATTCGATTATCAAAGGTACTCTTTAAAGGGACAGACCGGCTATGTAACGTAGTCAAACTGAGTGTGCAGTGTTGTGGACAAATTCTTTATGATTCATTTGAGACATATAAAACTTGTTAAAGATCTATAAATCCTGAGTTTGAGCGCAAAGTCGACGTTCAAAATCGTACTTTTGGGTGGATTCGTTTTCATAATTGTTTTTCTTTTAAATTATTAGATTACGACGACAAAAAATGAAAACAAAATTCCACAGTAAACTAAATAGTTGTTTAGGAACACCTTGAGTAAATGAAAATTAACTATTATCATAGAGAATAAGTAATCTTGTTCTATTATTAGTTTCTATAATCTCTCTTTAATCACAAAGATTTTCTGGAATTTTTATTAAAAAGACAACATTTGAAGAATTTGAAGAAATCTGCGAACAA